AAAAAAGCAAAAAATAAATAAAGGATAGGATAATGTATTATTTGTAAAAAAAAATAATAGCAAGAATCCTGTTTTTTATTTATTTATTTTTTTTGGTATAGTACCTCAAACAATTGAGATATTAGTTGAGTAAAATGTGTGAAAATATCGTAGTAATTTTAGTATATTGTTCATAATGTGTAACGATATATTAGTCGCATCGCACATATATAAAACATACATTAACTGTTGGAAAAAAATCAACATCAATCAATTTTTGCAACATTGTGTTCACTCAGTTAATACCAGTCTCGTTTTTGTATTAATTTTAATACTTTTTTATCGTAAAAAATATGCTTATTTTTTTTATTTGTCTATTATAAAAATTAGATTTGTTTCATTTTTAGTAAGAAATCATTACTTTTTTAGTATTTTAAACTATTTTATTTTATTTTTTACTTTTGTTACTATACAAAACAAAAACACACAGTACCTTAAAACCCGTATCAAAACTGTATGAGTTTACTTTTACATGATCAGATTTTAAATTTTTTTGATCAGATTACTTCATATATATATATATATTATTAACACGATTCAATATATATACCTAGTATTCATTTATACTCAAATATAATGGCATATTGTATTAACAAAATATATTGAATGAAATATATTGAATGATGTGTGTTTGTTTGGGGTTTTGGAGTTTGAATTGAGATTTGAATAGTAAAAATTTTGAATTTGAATAGCTATATGATGTGATATAAATAAGTGTTGATGTGATGTTTTGAATGTAAAACAGATTTTTAGTATAATATAAAAAATAAAAAATAGATGTTTGATCTGATATTTTTGGGGAGAAAAAATAATGTATTTAAAATTCAATTCTCCAAACAAACACACTACTTTCTATAAAAAAAGATGCAACAAAAATATTTGAAGTAATAAAATTTACCATTAGAAAATATGGCCATTATATTATTCAATCTTTATTTGATTTGAATAACAAATCTAGTTATGGTAACACAATGTCTACAAATTTAATAATCAATCAAGCAATTGATATAATAATAATAATAATAATAATAATAACAATAATATATCGTAACGCGTAATGTATATGATCTTATGTTGATCGCAAAAAAGAATAAAATATATATCAACTCATATTTATCTCATTTTATTAATTTTAAAAAATATATGTATATACATCATCCGAATGCAAAACACAACTTTTTTCTACGCTAATTCAAAAATTGAAAGAAAAAAATAATTTTTATTAGATACAATACCACAACCCAACTGAAGAAATTCATAAGAATGATTGATCATTAATAAATTGCTTAATTTCGTTTTAATATATATATATATATATACACACCGCTGCAGATCCAGCTGTGCTGATTCGAATAAACATATGTTATACACATAACCGACATATATTCATATATAATACATATAAATATATATTAACTACATGTATAACATATACTGTTCCGATCAAATCAGCACCATATTACTTGGTCGGATTAGCCGCTCATCGGCCATGTCCTATATATATATAATAGTATTATTAGGAACATATTTATTTATTTAAATTAAGTAATCATTGAGAATCCATTAATTTATAGTTAAAAGTATATTTAATATCAACACAAGTCCACCCACTTCCGATATTTATATTTCCACCACAAATTAATGTATTGCAAAAAAATTTGAAGACACAAGTCAGATTCCGTTTGAATTGACTACTCAATTTATGCCAAAAGACTTCGACCACACAAATCCTCAAATTCTCTAAACCATAAATTTTATATATTCTAAATAAAATATTATTTCCTTCCAAAATAATTAGCTCATTTCATTAGTGATACACTATTAAGATACTGATATTTAATTAGTTAATAAAAATAGAATATATATTTAAATATTTTATAAATTATATTGCAATAAAAAGTATATACTACGTATATAAAATAAAATTTTCTATAATACAAATAAATAAAAAATACATTTATTTATTTATTTATGATAATATAAATAAATTTTATAAAAGATATAGAGTTTTAAATATCAATAAAAATATTTGTTTTTTTTTTTTTTTTAAAGTGAATAAAATAAAGGAGTATTGAAGGAGTTATACATTATGTATAATGTTATATATTTTGTAGTTAATTTAGTTAACTTTGTTAAGTATATTTTCAAAATAAAAAGATATCAATTATTATGAGATAGATACAATGAAAAAAGTGTCTACTAGTATTGGCCGATGAAGTATTATTTCTTACTAATAATTTATTTTATTTTAAAGGTAAAGTGTTTGTTTGTAAAAATTTTAAATATGAATAATTGTACGACTAATCTCGTGACAACAGGCATACAAGTAATCTTATACCCATATGTCCAAAGCTCCCCTTCAAGGAACAGTTACTAGGTCTCAGCTCGTGTTTCTTGAATTACCACAAAGAAATCGAATGGAATGAATTTCGACTTAGTTTTCAGTCCTCAAGCAAACATTTCTGTGAACATTGCAAGTCTGTTAGGTAATCTTCACAACCTGATTGTCATTGAGCTTTTGTAATCGATCGAAAAGATGCTTGGGCGACGAGATGTTTCATGGCCCGAAAGAAGAAAATTATTTTTCACTCAATATAAGTCCACGACAGTTAGTATGTTGAAGAGGTAGTTTTATGTGAACTACAACTCCAAAGAAGTTAATTTGGCAAATTTATTCTCTATCTGCAAGTTCGATATGCTGAGCTAAGAGCAAATACAACGGCTTATGCGTAAAAGTGTCCTGTCTAGGCAAATAAAAATCTTCGCAACAAATCGTCTCACAATGCTCTGGTGACTCAATAAGTGTACCAAATAGAGAGAAATAGATTGGTTAAAACATTTTCTTCAACTTTTAACACACACTGTTTATTTCTCGACAAAAAACTTCAATACAGAAAGCACCGATCAAGAAGAATCTTCTTTTACATTGCAGCACTTAGAAGGTCTTCTGTGTTATTTGTTATATAGCAAAGAGAAGAAGCTTTGGTCCAAAGAAAATATCGACACGACGATGCAGATTTCCACTTCCTCAAGCCAAAATTCCTCTCATCGGTGTCAATTGTTACTTCGTAACGGAGAAGAATGAGCCAATTGGGGAAAAAAAATTGGACACAAAGACTGAAAATCGAACAGGGGAAGATATAGTGAATTTTTTTTCTTCTACACGGCCTCTACTGCAAAAAGTTGTTACTCATTGTATTTCAACATGTGGTCATCCGACTGATCTTTAGATAATATCGGCCAAAACTTTATTATATCAACAATAGATTTAACAACAAAAACGACAATAACAACGACTGGTTGATGTTGCAACTAATTTATGCTTGGAATTATAGATATTTCATTCGTCCACCCAATTTATGCTATTTTTGTTTTTTTGACATCCATAAAAATACGTATTTATTTTTATTTATAACCAATAATTTTTACACACTATTTAATTTTACTTTTCAACATTATATTTATTTACAAATATACTACAACTACGTGCTTACACATAATATTTATTAAAAATTATCTCACTTCATTAACTTACTCGTATACTTTATTAAATATGTATCGAGTTCAGATGAGCAAAAAAATTAAAGGATCAAGAGTCCTGGTAAGAATATAAAATTAAAATTCTCTATTTCAATAATAAGAATATGTACATATTTATAGTGATATATAAATCGTGTACATAAACAAGAATTCCACGAATCTCTTAAATAAGATAACTACAAAAAATATAATATATTGATTCTAAATATATTTTAACAAGTCGAATAAAGATTTATCAACTAATAACCTCTCAAATGTGTTATATGCAAGTAATTCTCATATACTTCATTAGTTCTCCAAATTTATTATTACTTTCATTTTTAGTCCATCATCAACAAATCAATATTTAATTATTATTATTTTACTCGACACTTATTTACAACAAATACCACTAATTTTATTACATTACTTTTTATTATTTATTTTAATTTTTAACTAAATTTTCAAAAATACCTATCATTTTTTCAAATAAAATAGTCAGGGTTATTAGGGTGTTCATGATTTTATAGTTAGGGTTTAAATGTAGGATTGAAAAGTTAAAATCTAGGATTTATAACTTTATAAGTGTAGGATTAAACTAGCATGGTAACTGCTGCTGCCAATTCAGTATACATGTCTATAAATATATATATATATATATTTATTTATTTGTAATAAATAAAAAAGTACGATTACTGCTCCTTAATTACAATATTTTAAATATATAATTAATGAAGTACAGTTGTTTGCTCTTGGAATTTAATTTTTAGTAATTTATTAATCTTCAGGTAAGGTTTTTTTCCTACTGTCGCTTCCGTGCCTTTTGGTGCAATTCTTTTTAACTCTAATAGTAAATTATTCTCTGCTAATTATTATATATTGCTTGCGCAATAAAACATGTCCCCGTAACGGATCACCTGATGGTGGTGTAAGGATGGTCTTATGATAGTGATATCATAGGTTCAAATTCCGACACTTTCAGATCTTGTCTGCAAATTCCCATATTAAAAAGAAAAAAAAAAAACTAGGAGAAAGAAAAATAGAGATATAATTATCCGGAATTGAAAGAGTATTATTTTGATCCTAATAATATTTTAAGCTGTTTGGAGATAGCATGAAGGGCTTCCACTTTTAGGGTTGGATATATATAGCTAGGGTGGCTATGATTTTATTAGCTATGGTTTAAATGTAGGAGTAAAGGGCTAATTTCTAAGATTGATAATTTTAAAAAGAAATTAAATAATATTATTAAGATGATGTAGACATATATATGTTACATGCAATTAATTAATTAATTCTCAAGACTGTAAAAGAGCATCATACATAGAATAGGAGGCTCACGTTATATATAATATATGCCAATAAAGCACACTAAATTTAAACAATCTTTCACTATATAAACCGATATAACCTTCTCCAGAAATTGGCCTTCTGCAATAGCCATGGCACTCTCAAAAAATTTGATCTTTAACGTAACAAAGAAGGAGCCCGAACTTGTTCGGGCCAAAACTAAAACTCCCACATCGACAAATCATGAAATAAAACGCTTGTCGGATATTGATGATCAAGAAGGGCTTCGACTTTTCCAACGGGCCATCTTCTTCTATCAACCATTGTCTTCAACAATAGACCCTGTTGGGACCATTAGATATGGCTTAGCCAAAGCCCTTGAAGCTTACTATCCACTTGCCGGTAGGGTTTTCGAAGGGCCTAATGGAAAACTCATGGTGGATTGTAATAACGAAGGGGTTGTGTTTGTCGAAGCTGAGGCTGATGTGAAGGTCGAGCAGCTTCATGATGGGATTTTGCCGCCATGCCCATCTTGGCGGAAGCTTTTGTGTGATGTGCTTGATTCGAGTGCAATCGTCGGTACCCCTATATTGTTTTTTCAAGTGAGTTTTCTTCATCTTCGGTATTGTTTAGATAAGAGTTTTAGAAGTTTCGAAATAAGTAAAATGTCGGGTAAAAACCATTTATTTGATGAGATGTAAATACATAGGGGTTGAATGTGATATTTTGTATAAAAAAATATAATTAAGACATATTAGTTTAAATGAAAATTAAGTATTTTGATGCCAGACATTTTTTCTATAAGGTTGTCGATTAATAATGCTAAAACTTCCTAAAATATGTATGTAAACAGAGTCTTTCTTTAAGTGGAAATATGCATTAGAATTCACAAGAAACAGCGAATTCATCATCGTCAACACTCAGTTCTAATAATGAAGGGAGCAGGTCGTTATGATCTTTGGAAGAATATCATTTGGGCTCCATTTTCTTTCGCTTTTTTGGACTTGTTTCTTATTAGTTACTTTGGCCCTTTTGTACAGTTAGACCCATAGATTAGAGATTCTGTTAGTTACGGGTATAATAGTACAACTTCACTCGGCATTCTTTGTTGAATAATAGAGAAACTTGCAACCAATCGCATCGAGAACATTATCATCGTAAATCTAATGTAGGTAACAAGATTCACATGCGGAGGTGTTTCCTTGGGCATTGTATTCAACCACACCTTACTAGATGCATCCGGCCTATTTCTTTTCCTAAATTCTATCGGCGAGTTTGCCAAAGGCGCGTTAAAGCCATCCGTGGAGCCGGTGTGGCGAAGGGAGCTTCTAGAAGCAAGATCTCCTCCGAGGATCACGTGCCACCACTACGAATACGACCAAAAAAATTCAAGCATCAAACCACTAGCATATCCTAAGGATACCTTCATTCTCAAATCGATCATCTTTAGCCCTAAAGAAATCCAAACACTCTATAATCAATTAACAAAAGGTCGATTTTCATCATTCGATGTGATAACAGCTTGCTTGTGGAAGTGCTGGACCATTGCGCTCGAGGCGCATCCGGATGATATTGTTCGTTGCTCCATGATTGTGAATATCCGTTACGGCACATTTGGCGCGAGCATTCCACCAGGATACTATGGCAATGCATTTGCTTGTCCGGCAGCAATATTAAAGGCTAGTACTTTGTGTGATTCGCCTTTCGAGCATATTGACAAAGCGCAAAATGAATGAAGAGTATGTTAAGTCGGTTGCGGATCTTATGGTGATTAAAGGTCGACCAAATTTCGCGGATACATGGACCTTTGGGGTTTCCGACTTAAGGAAGATAGGGTTCGATAAGCTCGACTTGGGCTTGGGAGCGCCGTATTTCGCCGGAATTCCGTGGGCTAATTCACTTTGTGCTTTCTACAATAACGTGAAGTGTGATGGAGGGGAAGATGGAGTTCTTGTGACCTTAGGCTTGCCATCTTTGGCCATGGAGAAGTTCCAGTTTGAGCTGAAAAAGATGACAAGAGAACCGATTTAAAAAAAGTAAAAATACATATATTGAAATATTGATTAGCTGCATCATAATGGCATGATGTATCAAGATTGCAGTTTGAATTCTTGTTAATGGTTGAATAATAATACCCCCTTCATCATTAAAAAAAATATATCAATTTGACCGGACACAAGTATATAAAATACGAATAAAAATAAAAATTAGTTTTAGTAAAGAAAAAGTATGAAAGTATCAGTTTATAATTTTTTAATAGGTTAAAAAATAATAGTATTTTATTAGTAAAAAATAATGTAAGAAATTTTGATATTTTTTTAATTTAACTTTATTTATAAATAAATGGTATGTGTAATGATAATTTAAATAAAAATCAGATATTTTGATATTAGTGTATAATTATTTTTACTAAAATAAAAAAAAATATTTGAATAGTAAGACAAAAATAGTAAAAAGAGTATTTTAAGTTGTAATAGAAGAAATATTTTTTACTAAAAAATAAAAATATTTTTCAATGACAATCAAATAAGAACCATAGGCATAAGTTTTGATAACAGATAAAATATATGAGATTGTGTTGTTTTGCTGCATTTGAATATCTTAAAAAAAAGGGAGCTAGATTGTTACAGATTTTCTTTTTTCTAATTTTGCATTCAAATTTTCAGAATCTTTATTATATATACATATATATATTAATTATTTTAATAAAAAGACTTCAAAAATTCAAATTCTACTTTAAATAGTTCAAAATTTTAGAACTTTTATTATATATATTATTTTATTTAAAGGAAAAGTCCAAAATTTTCCAAACTTATAAGATAATACAAACTTTTCAGATATCTTTCCCTAATTTAAAAGAATTCAAATAATTTAAAAATTATTTTTAAAAAATATAAAAAACTGAAAAAACCTTGAAAAATTCCACACCCCCCCCCCACCTACCCTCACCAAAATAAATTTTCGACTTTATTTCTTTCTTCCTCCAACCTTCTTTTTATGCGGCAGCGGCGGCGGCGGCAACTCCTCGAGCTTCTTGTCCAACGGCAACAGTTGCGGTGTCCTTCTTCCCTAGCGGCGGGAGCGGTGGCGGCGGCGAAAGCGGAGCCGGCAGTAGCAGCGGCTGCGGCAGCAGGGGTAGTGGAGGCAGGGCGGCAGCGGCAACCGTGGTCTCCAGCAATCTGATTATATATTTATTTTTTCAAAGAAAATTCAATAATTATTTCAAATTTCAAGGCCAAAAAATTCATCGCGAAAATTTCAAAATTATTTAAAATAATTTCAAATTTCCGAAGCCAGTTAAAAGACAACGAGCTTTACTCCTCAGCAAGAGACAAATTTCCAGGCTTTAAAAAAAATAGTCTTGGATCTAGTTCAAATTCTGAGACTATTTTCCGAGGCAGATTTCATTTCTTTCTGGTAGTGAAAGACGTTGGCGAGGTATGGATTGTTGTCCCCAAACAAACAAGACAACCATTTGTTTCACTTGATATAGAGTAGATTTGTGTGAGTTGCTTTTGTGCTCGTTGCCATTCTTTCTAGGAAAATGATGCTGCAGAACTCTTAACGGTGCTTGAAATGCTCATTTTACGAAGAACAATCCGATTTACAAACTGAATGGATGTTTCAGAAAGTAAGATTTTTTTTTTTACTTTTAGCTACAAATAGTTTGATGGTGTTGTTATTAAGGTAAAATAATCAATTTGATTTCTTGAGCATGGTATATGTAAGAAAGTTGTAAGAGATTACAGCTGATATTTATGCTCAAATATTTCTCAAACTTTCTATAAAAACACGTGAAAGAGAAGCTTGAAATAGTCATAGAATAGGAGGCTCATGCTATCTAATGTTAGCCAAATATGTGCCCACAAAGCACACTACATTTAAACCATCTTTCGCTAAGATGGTCCTGTAAGGAATGACTGGATGATGTTGGGTGGACTCGAAATTGTGAGATCATTGATTCAAAATCGGTTCGCCTAGTGTTACTTGCTGTGTCGAATCTAGTTTGCAGACTATTAGATTCGAGCAGAGGTTTACCCAAAGCGCACTCGAAGAGTAATATTTACGGATTCCAAAATCATAAAATATATATATATACTCTCTTCATCCCTTAACGAACTATCCATTTTTTTATTTTGATCCATCTTATAAAAAATATCATTTTTTTCTTATGTAGTAATGTACTATCTATCTAATATTTACAAATACCCTTGTTACTTGTAATATATTACACAAACGTCATTATTTTTATATCACATAATATTAAAAAAGTTATTTTAATAATTTCTATTTTAAATACTAATATGCATACAACTTTGTGCAAGAAGTAAATGAATATCTAGGGACGGAGGGCGTATATATATTTAATGATATTTGTTGTCAATAAATATTAAATGGAGGATAATAATTAAATATGTAAATGATAAGTATGTAGGTAAAAATATATATTATTGCAAGAGCATCATAGAGCAGGAGCTAGGCTCACATTATATAGTATGCCGTGGCCACAAATCACCCTACTTGTAAACCATCATTCACTATAAAAACTGATATAGTATTCTCCGAATGGCCTTCTGCAACAGCCATGGCACTCTCAAAAGATTTGATCTTTAACTTAACAAAGAAGGAGCCCGAAATTGTTAGTGCCAAAATCAAAACTCCCACGTCGAAAAATCATGAAATAAAATGTTTGTCGGATATTGATGATCAAGACGGGCTTAGGTATCTCCAGCCTCTCATCTTCTTCTATCCTCCTTCGTCTTCGACAATAGACCCTGTTGTGACCATTAGACATGGCTTACCCAAAGCCCTCGAGGCTTACTACCCACTCGCTGGTAGGGTTTTTGAAGGGCCTAATGGAAAGCTCATGGTGTATTGTAATAATGAAGGGGTTGTGTTTGTCGAAGCTCGAGGAGCTTCAGGATTGGACGGACTTCGTCACCATTCATATCTTCGTCAAAGCTTTTTTGTAATGTGACTGGTTCTGGTCTGATCTTCGGTACCCCTCTCTTGTTTTTTCAAATTAGTTTTCTTCTTCTTCTCCTTTGCCTTTATTTAAATAAGAGTTTTCAAACTTTTGAATTTTCGGAGAGTTTTGAAATAAGTAAAAAAATTGAATAAAAAATAGGGGTGTATTCTTTATATATATTCTTTCGCATAGATTTTTCATTATTTTTATATTTTCTACGCAATTTCTATATTTTACTTTAAAAAATTTCTTTCTAATCATTTCACAAAATAAACACACTCTAGACATTTGATGAGATATGTAAATAGGCTTTGGATGTGATATTTAGAAAATAAATTTTTGATATAATATTTTAAATGAAAATTAAGTACTTAATAACGATGACATGCTTTTTTTTTCAAAAGATACAATTGATTAATAATACTAAAACTTTCAAAACTGCCCATATAAACAGAGTCTTTTCTTAATCAAATGTAGGTAACAAGATTCACATGTGGATTTTCTTTGGGCTTTTTATTCAACCACACGTTACTAGATGGTTCAGGCCTATGGCTGTTCCTAAATGCTATCGGTGAGCTTGCGAAAGGTGCGTCGAAACTATCCGTGGATCCAGTTTGGCGAAGGGAGCTTCTAGAAGCAAGATCTCCTCCGAGGATCACATGCCACCACTATGAATACGACCACAAAATTTCAAGCGACAAACCCCTAGTATATCCTAAGGATACCTTCATTCTCACATTGATCTTTTTTAGTCCTATTGAAATCCAAACACTCTATAATCAATTACCCAAAGCTCAATTTTCATCCTTCCATGTGATAATTGCTTGCTTGTGGAAGTGCCGGACCATTGCGCTCGAGGCGCATCCTGATGATATTGTTCGTGTCTTCATGCTCGTGAACATGCGCTACGGCACATCTAGGGCGAGCATTCCACAAGGATACTATGGCAATGTATTTGCTTGTCCTGCAGCCATATCAAAGGCTAGTACTTTGTGTGAGTCGCCATTGGAGCATATTGCAAACTTGATTCGAAAGGCAAAGTGCGAAATGAATGAAGACTATATTAAGTCTGTTGCAGATCTTATGGTTATCAAAGGTCGACCAAAATTCGCTGATACATGGAGCTTGGGGGTTTCGGACTTAAGGAAGATAGGTTTTGATAATCTCGACGTGGGCTTCGGAGAGCCATCCTTTGCCGGAGTTCCGTGGGCGACTTCAGATTTTACTTTCTACAATAATGTGAAGTGTGATGGAGGGGAAGATGGAGTTCTTGTGACCATATGCTTGCCATCTATGGCCATTGAAAAGTTCCAGTCTGAGCTGAAAAAGATGACAAGAGAACCGATATCAGTATATATATTGAAATATTGATTATATCCATGATATATCAATTCTTCAGTTGTCTCCAATGAAAACCATAAAATTAATTAGGGTTTAATAATGAATTGGGAAAGCCTATCTACGATCTTATGATGTTTTTCCGTGGATATGAGTTCCTCTACTTTTGTTTCCCATTCCCATCATTGAAAATATAATAGATGGTCTGCTTGATTGTGTTTTAATTTAAACCACCTTGATTGATCTTGATTACAAGTTCTGAATCCCTAATGCTGACAATTTCACCTACCACTCTTTAGTTTTTAGAATTTTTTGGGGAAAATAATAAAATAGTTATATTTAAGTAATCGACTTAATATAAATATAAATCTACTAAATTTAAAATCAAATATCTAAAATATTTCAAAAATTGTTATATTTAATTTGATGATTATACCTGTTTTGAATTTTGGACAAAATTTGAATTCATATTCTTTGTACATAATGTTGTGAATTTGTCATAAATTGGTGGACTTTTTCGAACAATAACTTATAAATACGAGAAATTGTATTTATAACACAAGAAATTTAAATGGAAATTGAAACTGAAAATATAATCTAAAGCTAAAATATAATTTTGGAAATTAATATTTATAACACAAGAAAATTTAAATGGAAATTGAAACTGAAAATATAATCTAAAGTTAAATATAATTTTGAAAATTAAGAGGAGAAAACCAAATAAGCAACACCTTAAATTGAAACAAACACTCCGAGGAGGATCACAGTTGACAGCAGCGGCAGCTCACCGGACTTCCTCCGGCCGTTCACGGCAGCCGCGGACCAGCGAACAACTTCCTTCAAGCTCCAAAGAGGTTCGTCCGGTTTGAGCGTGGATTGATCAAAATGCCTTCGAACACCAAAAAAGGAGGACAACTCACCGAAGTATAGTTATCTCACAATAATAACTCCTCTGTCAAGGAAGTAAATAACGGAACACCAAAGCAATAAAGAAGACAAGGATTTGTTAATTCAATTCTGTTATAACAACGTATGGAGAATTATAATCCAAGAGATGCTTCATTATAATCAATACTAAATATACTACAAAATGACCTCAAACTCACTTAATTTATATCTTCCATAAAAGCTTATCTTGCATTCAATGCACAGATACTAAGCGTCACAAACGCATACTGACACCAGTGTCTATAACAAGCCCAGAGTAATGCAGTCCTTGAGCTGTTTGTCTTCTCCAAATGGAACTCCGAAATCTCTTTCTTCCGGCAACTCTTCCGGTGAATTTTTTGTATAAAACACAAGATTAAAACACGGAGATGGAGAGGGACATAGATGAGAGCTTCAAATAATATTTCTCTCTCTAGAATAATCTCTCAATTGTACTCCATCTCAAAACAACTCTAGAATAATCTCTCAATAGTCTATCCCATGTTGTATATACAACAACCTGGTTTAAGTGTAAATTAAGGATCAATTAATTTCCTTATCATATAAATGGGAATGGAGCGATTTCAACATGAATCTGATATTCTATTGACTATCACCGTTCTACTAATTTGTTTGTATGCAGTTTGTGACTGTCTGCAACTCACATAGTCAACTTTGTTGTTTTTGAAATCGGGCGACAGCAGTTCCGCAGAAAGTGATTTGTTCATATGCCGAAAGAGGTAATAGGGAAATATTTTTGTTTAAGAGAGCCCAATTCGCAGCCCACGATTATATCATCTTCTTTCTCGGGTGAGCCAGCCGGAGATGGGCGAAAGCTTCCTCCGACGGCTCCACAAACAGCTCCGGAAGTCCACCAACACCTACCGGACAGCAACAGCAGCAGCAGCAAATGGATCTCCTTTGTTCGGTTGTTTATAGTAGCAGCTCCAACTCTGGCGGACAGCTTCTCCTCCGGTCAAGCCAACATCTCCTTTCTTTCGTAGGCGACAAGAATGGTGGTGTCGGCTCAGACCCTAGGTGTATATGGCCTATGGCAACCACAATCTCAAGGTGGAATTCGACGGACACTCAAAACCTCCACAGCTACCGCCGAAGAACTCACAAAGAACTCTCGCACTCGGCCCTCTCCCTCTCACTCTAAAATATCTCCTAACTAACACAAGGTTGCATACTCTAGAAAACCAAGTTAACAAAGTCTCAATTAGTCACACGGTTAGACAGACCAAGGAAGACGGTTAGGAAATAAAGAAAAACAAAACAGGATTTTAGTTGGACATGGTACTCCGGACTATGATGTGGATCAACTTATTTATTATTATCGAGGGACGAGTTGAATTAAATTATGAAAAATCCAAATAACTAACAATTATTCACTTATTTTGGTCATGATTTAACCAACTTCTTCTATTATAAGATATTCTTATTGAAACTTAAACGGGTTTTATTATCTCCTTTTGTTGCTCTGCGCACTCGAAGTACAGATATTAGAGAAAAATAACATATCACACGTATAACACAAAAATTTAGTTGCGGGACAGTTTTTATGTATCTCCATTTAGAGCTCTAAGAGGGGTAGATGTGAAACAACGAAAAAAATATATATATTTTATTAATATTTTTAAACAATCAATTAATATTATTTATAAATATACAAAATTGAATCTTCTTCGCATTTGTTCGTCACGTGACTAGTCAATGTCAACAATGGCGGTGTTATGTCACGACATGTTGCAATATTTAAATTGTATATGATATTTTCTAACATTATGGATTAGATACATGTCATACATGATTTAAGTTAAGCACCAAAATAAGTTTCGTAAACAATGGGCTGGTGGTGTAGGGCAAACCTATAGGTCATGAGTTAAAACCCGCCTCCGATCTTGCTGCCTTGCTGTTCCTAGTTTGTAGAGTTTAATCAGAGAGATTTATAAAAATAAAAAATAAAATAAAAATTAAGGACTAAAATAATAAAAAAAAAATATCATATATATATAGACTAAGAAATATTCATTCAAACAACTATTCTTTTTTATTAAAAATATCATCCTAAAATTTAGCATTTTAGGTAGTGATAAAAAGCTTCACCAAACCTCATGACAACCATCTAACTATTAATTAATGAACTCTATCCAAAGACAAAAAAAAAAAAAAAAAAATCAGTACGGATTAATATTATACAACTATTATAGTTCTAAAAAAATAATAATAATTGTAAATAAAAATATAAAACTCTCTTGGGTGCAACTAGACTTGACCGCTCCAAAGGTAAATTATCCTGATTAAACTGGATCACCAAATATACAATCAAGTAAAGGGACAAAAATATACTCTTTACATTCCAATACAATAGTTTTGTTTACTATTTTTGTCCATCCCAAAACAATAGTCTCATTTTCATAAATAATTATATCACCATAAGATTATCCATACATTTTCATTATTATTACACAATTGTCCCTACTTTTTACACTAATATACTTACAAGGGCAAACAAATCATTTATCTTTACTTTTTACCAAATATTTTAAGCTATTTGGAGATACCACGAAGGGCTTTCACTTTTAGGGTTGGGTGTTCAAGATTTTATATTTAATTAGCTACGGTTGGAATGTAGGATAAGATGTTAATATATAGGCTTGCTAACTTTAAGTTAGCTAAATCATAGAATCTATCGATTATATACATAATTTTAGATTACATTCATCAATTGACATTATTGAGATGTTGATATCATATAGGTTTTGTTCATCCCAACAACCAATATAACTACACCATTTCGATTTGTATCAAACGTAATACAATAAGTATATATATATATATCACATAAATAATGCCGATCAAGTCAAATATTTAATTAAAATATTATTTTTTATATTGCTTACATTTTTTTTTCAACTCAATCGAAGAGTGTAATTATAATACTTATTATATAATAATTATTTATACTAATATATTTTTTAATTACTTCTTAATTATAATTTAACTAAATTCTTGTATCTAAAGTAATATGGACATATAAGCACGGATCGTAGGGAGTATTATTTTATTGAAAAGGTAGAAAAAAAAAAAGTTGATAGTATTTTTGAAAATTTTGTTGGCAATTAAAGATGACAATGAAAGAAAATATAATAAAATTAGTAGTATTTGTTATAAATAAGTATAATAATTAAATGTTAATTTTTTTACTTTACTAAATATAGTCATGGATATATTTAATGGGAAGGACGAATGAGAGTGAGAATAAATTTGGGGAAAATATGTTATATGCAGTTAATTCTCAAATATTCTATAAAAACTTTTAGTGTGTTTATTTGTGGGTTTTGATTTTGAATTTTCATTTTAAATTGTAGAATTTTAAATTTAAATAATTGTTTGATATGAATTAGATATGTATTGATAGATAGATATGTATTCATGTGATTTAAATATGTATTGATAGATAAATAGATATGTATTCATGTGATTTAGATATGTATTGATAGATAGATAGATATGTTTCGACACTAAATTTTAGTGTAATCTAACTACTAATAATAAAAAAAAAAAAAAAAAAAAAAAAAAAAAAAAACTGTTTATTTGATATTTGTAAAGAGAAAAAAAAAAAGAATAAAAAAACTAAAATCAAAATCTTACAAGTAAACATACCCGTTAAATAGCTTAAAAGAGCATAATGTAGAATTGGAGCCTCACATAATTATATATATGTGGCCAAATCACTACATATTTTTAAACTATCATTCACTACAAAATAAAATCTGAGATAATATTTTCCAGAAATCGGCCTTCTGCTACAGCCATGGCACTCTCAGAAAATTTGATCTTTAAAGTAACAAAGAAGGAGCCCGAACTTGTTCGTGCCAACGCAAAAACTCCCACATCGAAAGATCATGAAATAAAACGTTTGTCGGACATTGACGACCAAGAAGGGCTTCGATTTCTTCAACCGAGCATGTTCATTTATCCACCTTCGCCTTCAAAAATAGACCCTGTTGGGACCATTAGATATGGCTTAGCCAAAGCACTTGAGGCTTACTATCCACTCGCCGGTAGGCTTTTCGAAGGGCCTAATAGAAAACTCATGGTGGATTGTAACAATGAAGGGGTTGTGTTTGTCGAAGCTGAGGCTGATGTGAAGCTTGAGCAGCTTCGTGATAGGACTTCGCCGCAATTTGTATTTGTGCCGAAGCTTTCTTCTAATTTGCTGAAGCTTTATTGTAATGTGCCTGATTCTGATGTGATCATCGGTGACCCTCTCGTGTTTTTTCAAGTGAGTTTTCTTCTTCTTCTCTGAGTCTATTTAGATGAAAGTTTTAGAAGTTTCAAAGTTTTTCGTAGAAGTTTAAAAATATTAAAAAGTTCAATTAAAAATAAGAAATTTGATACCATATAAATAAATATTAAATGTGATATTTTTTTAAGGTAATACTTTCCCGTCCCAATTCAAAATAATTTTTTTTACCATTTTCGTATATTTTACTCAAAAGTACTCATTTTCTATTTCAGTAAAAGGAATCATACCTAATTTTAAAATACATAAATTATAAATATACTATTATATATAAAATTAATTTACACAAAGTGAAGTGCAAAAATACTATTATTCAATCTACTGCAAAAACGGAAATGACTCATTTGGAGTTCATTTGGAATGGGACGGAGGGAGTATTTTAATGAAAAATTAGTATTTGATACGATTTTTTTTTTTAAGTTACTATTTTAGTGCAAAAATGCATAAGATGGGTTCTTAAATCAAATATAGGTAACAAAATTCACATGTGGAGGATTTATCTTGGCAATTACATTCAACCACACCCTACAAGATGCTCCAGGCCTATTGTTGTTCCTAACTGCTATTGGTGAGTTCGCCAAAGGAGCGTTGAAACCATCAGTGGCCCCGGTGTGGCGAAGGGACCTTCTTGATGCAAGATCTCCTCCGAAGATCACGTGCATCCATAACGAATATGATCACAATTTTTTGAGCGAAAAATCACTCAAATATCCTAAGGATACCTTCATTCTCACATCGATCATCTTTGGCCCTAAAGAAATCCAAGCACTTCATAATCAAATACCAAAAGGTCGATTTACATCCTTCGACGTGATAACTGCTTGCTTGTGGAAGTGCCGGACCATTGCCCTTGAGGCGCATCCGGATGATATTGTTCGTATCACCTTGGTCGTGAACCTGCGCTACGGCACATTTGGGGCGAGTCTTCCACAAGGATACTATGGCAATGTATTTGCTTCTCCGGCAGTAGTATCAAAGGCTAGTACTTTGTACGAGTCGCCATTGGAGCATATTGCAAACTTGATTCAAAAGACAAAGCGCGAAGTAAATGAAGAGTATATTAAGTCGGTTGCGGATTTTATGGTGATCAAAGGTCGACCTGATTTAAATGATACATGGAGCTTCGAGGTTTCGGATTTAAGGAATGGAGGGTATGATAAGCTCGACCTGGGCTTCGGAGAGCCGTGCTTCGCCGGAGTTCCGTGGGCGAATTCACTTGATTCTTTCTACAATAATTTGAAGTGTGATGGACGGGAAAAGGGTGTTCTTGTGACCATAAGCTTGCCATCTATGGCCATTGAAAAGTTCCAGTTTGAGGTGAAAAAGATGACAAGAGAACCAATTTCAAAATATTGAAATAGTGATTATATCCATGATAGATTTATTAGGGTTTGATAATAAATTGGGAAAGCCTATCTGTGTTTTTCCATGGATATGAGTTCATTCATGTACTATGGTTTGATTGTGTTTAAAACTTTACCTTTATGAAAATCTTGATCAATTTCTGAATCTAATCTTTACCTTAACATTGTTATGGCAAAAGAATCAGATTTTTTATATTTAATTTGAAGATTGAAAGTTATATTGAATTTGTCGTGAAAGTTGAATCGATATTGTTTGTATTTACACATTATTTCATTCACGACAGTCTCGAACTTTTTTGGGACCCTGAACAAAAATGTATTGTAAGCCCTATAAATATATGATTATATATATTTTTAAAATAATATCACCGACATTGGTGTCGGCTGGATAAGAGGTTAAAAGCAGGGATTTGACGGTGTCAATTCGGAAGATGCGACGGCGGGGTAGTGTCCGGAAATTCAAAGAAATAGAGGATCGAGTGATGGAGAAAGAGAGAAAATAGAGAGGTCAGGCGTATTTGATCTGGGTGAATGAGTGGGCACGGCGCGGCGCGGCGCGATAGAGCATTAAGGGAGGAGGTGTAGACGGCGATTGAATTTGAAAAAATGGAGTGCGGAAGTACATAGGAAGAAGAGATAAGAAAAATATATAATTATAATTTAAAATTTAATTTTAAACTAAAATGGAATTGGATAATTATGAAAAATAAAAAATAAAAACTAAAATTTAAAATTAATGTTAAATTTAATAATAATATGTTCATTTTGTTTTTTTTATGACGGGGAACACGCGGTCGCTACCCGAAAGAGCGGACTGGGTAAACCACCCGCCGAACCTAATACCCTGCAAACCAGGCTCGACGGAAAAGTTACACTAGGCGAACAGGCTAGTGACCTGAGGCGTCCGGGGTTTAAACCCATGACCTCATGATCACAAGTCCAACCCCTACACCACCAGACTATTCTTACGGAACAGATGTTTACCCTAGCTAAGAGCGGTCTGTGATTTCATTCTAATTCCTAAGGCCTCAACCTATGAATTATGAATTTTTATTATTATAAAATCTACTGACGCTATTTTTCGAATACATTTTGAGTAAAATTTAATCGAATTTAATAGTTTGCAAACTACATCCGTCAAATCACACTAAGCGAACAATGTACGACAAACAAGACCGACATTGGAGATTTGAACCACCGGCCTAATGGTTTTAGCTTGGGTTTTTAATAGTAAATATTTCTAATTGAAATAGATATTTAATATAATATAAATATATATTTGATGTTATACAATAAAATTTTAAATTTAAATAATTACATAATATCATATTTTAAATATTAAAACAATTATTTTATTTATTGTTAAATTGCCCATTACTTATTAAATGTCCATTCCATTTCCTCACATATATATATATACATACGCATGTAATTATTTTCACCCTATTACCCCTTTTACAGAACTTATCCATCTACCTTCCACATCTTTCACATCATGCACGTAACCTTCATTTACTTTCATTGTCACTTTATTTTTCATTAATTGCTTCTTTTTCATATATAATCTTGTTCCATTTTAATTCACATATTTTCAATATTATAATAATTGATATATATTTATTTTGAATGAAATTTAGTAAATCAATTTAATTAACTATATATAGTACCTTTTGTCTGACTTATTCACTAAAAAAAATAATATATTTGTAAAGGGATTCTGTCCCTAAAGTTCACGTAGCTAACGTAATTTCATTCATAATTTCGTTTCTAATGTCATTAGTAATAGAAAAAGTAGATTTAGAAAAAAAAAAAAGTTCTGTTATAAAAATGATTTTTTTTTTGTGGTGATTGTGTTCATCTTTACATTTTCGTATGTCCCATGTATTTTATTTCTTTTTTTTAAAAAAAAAAAGAGTTATATACTTTAATCTCATTTAAAATTTTAATTTATAATTTTTTAATTTTAATTAGATTAATAAGTTATTTTTATTTTAATCTATAATTATTTTTATTATATGATAATTACTTTCACTAATATATTTTTAATTACTTACTAATTATACTCTTTTTAAATTCCCGTATTTACAGTAATATGAACATCATAGCCGAGACGGAGGGAGTAATAAAATTCACTCAAAATTACTTTATTTCTATATATTTTTTAAAAAATTTAATATTTTTATCTATATTTAAAATTCACCGTCTTTTATAAAATTAGATTATGTTAAATATAGATAAATAAACATATTTTTTTACTTATTTGTATTATAAAAAAAATTATTCTCTACAAAATAATCTTTATATTGCATATATTTTTTTATTACAATATAATTTTTAAAATATTAAATACATATTCTAAATTTTTTAATTATATATATTAAACTTATTTTAAAATTATCAATGCTATTAATTATATAAAATAAATAAAATAATATTTAATTTACTATTATTAATTAATAAAATATTATTATCTAAAATTAAACAAAAAAAGTTATTGAATCGATACGAATGCAGTGTATATATATACACACTTTGTCCTCTTGTGCTCTTTTCAATATATCTCTTTTCACTAACTAGCTAGTACGGCTACTGATACTGTGCTGATTCGACCAAATTAGTATGGTATTGATTTGATATCATATGTTATATTATAAAATAGCATATGTTACATTATAAAACAATATATGCTAACTTAAAATATAATATATTTTCAATTATAAATATGCTGAGAGAGCGGTACGTATAAATATATAGTATGTATCCATGCCCCACTAAGTACACTGCGTGTACGTCTTTCAATGTATTCATACTATAATAATGTATCTATTTCCTTTACAATTTGTTGGGTTTTTGTTGTTGTTCAATGTTCCACTTCGCCTGAGTTTGATTCCGATCGATCCTTGGAAGTCAACTACATTCTGTAACAGCCATGGCACTCTCAGAAAATTTGATCTTTAACGTAACGAAGAAGGAACCCGAACTTGTTTGTGCCAACACCAAAACTCCCACATCGACAAATCATGAAATCAAACGCTTGTCAGATATTGATGATCAAAAAGGGCTTCGATTTCTTCAACCATCCATCTTATTCTATCCTCCTTCGTCTTCAACAATAGACCCTGTTGGGGCCATTAGATATGGCTTAGCCAAAGCCCTTGAGGCTTACTATCCACTCGCCGGTAGACTTTTCGAAGGGCCTAATGAAAAACTCATGGTGGATTGTAATAATGAAGGGGTTGTGTTTGTCGAAGCTGAGGCTGATGTGAAGCTCGAGGAGCTTCGTGATGGGATTTTGACGAAATTTGCATTTGTGCCGAAGCTTTCTTCTAATTTGCCAAAGCTTTTTTGTAATGTGCCTGGTTCTGATGCGATCATCGGTAACCCTCTCTTGTTTGTTCAAGTGAGTTTTCTTCTTCTTCTTCTTTATCTTCTTTGAGTTCCATAAAAGTTTTGAAAGTTTCCAAGTTTTGAAAATTGTAAAAAGTGGAATAAAAGACAAGCATTTAATACAATTCAAATAAGTATTAAATATGATATTTTTTAGGGAAAAAATATTTTTTTACTTTAAAATTTTAACCAAGATTTAGTATTTTTTTTAGTTACTATTGAACTATTTTATATGAATAATGTTAAAACTTAATACGCATGCAAACAAAGTATTTATTTTGAGTGCAAAAATTTATAAGATGGATTCTTCAATCAATATAGGCAACAAGATTCACATGCGGAGGATTTTCCTTGGGACTTTTATTCAACCACTCCTTAATAGATGGTTCGGGCCTAATGTTGTTCCTTAATGCGATCGGCGAGTTTGCCAAAGGTGCGTCGAAACCATCCGTGGCGCCGGTGTGGCGAAGGGACCTTCTTGATGCAAGATCTCCTCCGAAGATCACGTGCATTCATAACGAATACGATCACAATTTTTTGAGCAAAAAACCACTCAAATATCCTAAGGATACCTTCATTCTCACATCGATCATCTTTGGCTCTAAAGAAATCCAAGCACTTCATAATCAACTACCAAAAGGTCGATTTACATCCTTCGATGTGATAACTGCTTGCTTGTGGAAGTGCCGGACCATTGCCCTTGAGGCGCATCCGGATGATATTGTTCGTATCACCTTGGTTGTGAACCTGCGCTACGGCGCATTTGGGGTGAGTCTTCCACAAGGATACTATGGCAATGCATTTGTTTCTCCTGCAGCAATATCAAAGGCTAGTACTTTGTGCGAGTCGCCATTGGAGCATATTGCAAACTTGATTCAAAAGACAAAGAGCCAAGTGAATGAAGAGTATATTAAGTCGGTTGCGGATCTTATGGTGATCAAAGGTCGACCCAAATTAGCCGATACATGGAATTTCGTGGTTTCAGACCTAAGGAAAATAGGGTACGGTGAGCCCGACTTGGGATTCGGAGAGCCTTGCTTCACTGGAGTTCCGTGGGCGAATTCTCTTGATACTTTCTACGATAATGTGAAGTGTGATGGAGGGGAAAAGGGAATTCTTGTGACCTTAGGCTTGCCATCTATGGCCATTGAAAAGTTCCAGTTTGAGGTGAAAAAGATGATAAGAGAACCAATTTCAAAATATTGAAATACTTATTATATATATCCATGAGCTATATATACATATATTAATTAGGGTTTGATAATAAATTGGAAAAGCCTATCTATGTTTTTCCATGGATATGAGTTCATGTACTATGGTTTGATTGTGTTTTAAACTACCTTTATGAATCTTGATCAATTTCTGAATCTAATCTTTACCTTACCATTGTTCTGGAAAATGAATCACAGATTTGTTATATTTAATTTGAAGATTGAAAGTTATATTGAATTTCTCATGAAACTTGAATCGATATTGTTTGTATTTACACAGCATTTCATTCTAATTTCTAAGGCCTCAACCTGTGATTTATTAATTTTTTTCTTTTTTTTTTTTTAATAAGCGTGAGAGTTTACCGTTGTTATTTTTCGAGTGCATTCCGAGTAAACTCCGACCAAACCTAATAGCCTGGAAATTGGCTTAGTCAGGCAAGTGACACTTGGCGAACTATACGCAGTATGCAAGACCCAGAGGCGTGGAAAGTTTGAACTTCCAATCTCACGGTTTGAGTTTAAGTTTTTAATAGTAAAATTTTTAATTAGAATAGTTATATAATATAATAAAACTATATATATATTTTATATTATATAATAAAATTTTAAATTTGAATAATTATATAATACGATGTTTTAAATATTAAAATATTTATATTTGTCTTCCTAATATGTAAGAAAGACAGTTGCTTGGTTTAAAATTTTTTATTGTTTTGTCTTTTTTATCCACCACCAGAAAAAATAATATTAGTCTCCAAAAATACTTCCGATCTTAAACTGAGTCCGATGCTAATATTAATTAGCCTCGGAGTTTCTCTCAAATTAGTACCCAATGCTAAAAACTCGCTGCTGCTAAGAAGAGTCTCGGAATATTTGAAATTATTTTGAATGGTCTCGGAATTTTCGAAGGCTATTGTGAATAGTTTTGTAATTTTCAAAGCAATCTTTAAATTTGATATATATATATATATATATATAAACTTTGCGCCACTACTTCCTCGTAGCTGTTGCCCCGCCGTCGGAGAAGAAGATGAAGAAGAAAGAGGAGGAGCTGCCGTCGCCACGGCCATCGCTGCCACCACCGCTGGATCAGCCTTCATTTATTTTCTCTCTGGATTTGCTGATTAGATATCTTCATTATGGGCTACATTCAAAGTATTGATGAGCCCAAACTGAATTGGATTTCTGTACACTATTGGACTTCACCGGTTGACCGAAGTTCCTGCAGACCATCATCAACTAAAACTAAAAAACATATCAACTATTGATAATTTTTCTTATTTTTAAAAATCTAGTTAGATTCGTTTTATATTTTTAGACATTTCAGTTCCAATTTTTTTATTTTTTATGTTTATCCGATAGTTTGGAGGTTTATACATAATCATTTTTTCTAACTAGTTTAAAAGTCAGAATAAAGAAACCTATTTGCTCGAGGAAGGGATCCTTGGCCCCTCTTAACTGTCAGCCTTCTCTAATATATTTTTGTATATGTATATAATTATATATCACTATCAAAAAAAAAAAAAAAAATAGTATATTTGTAACGGAATTTCGTTCTTAAAGTTCATGTAGCTAACGTAATTTCATCCATAATTTCGTCTCTAATATCGTTAGTAACGGAAAAAGTGGATTTAAGAACGAAAAAATCTTGTTACAAAATTGATATTTTTTTGTAGTGTATACACAATATGTATATATATATATATATGATATACAACATATACGTGTATATATATATATATACAAATAAGTTATATATATTTTTATGACGTGAGAACCCGCAGCCGCTACCCGAAAGTGCGCACTGAGTATATATATTATTTTTGGTGAGGAACGTGAAGACGTCGTAAAGCATATAGGTGGCCGAGGGTTCCATTTCTCAACGTCCTTCATTTCCTTACATACATATATATATATATCCATGTAATTAATTTCACCTTATTATTAATTTTACAAAATTTGTATGTGCTGCTGTGGATTCTCACGTCATATTAAAAAAAAAAAAAAAAAAAAAAAAAACCCTTGTAAGTCAACATTTCACATTATGCACGTAACTGTTATTTACTTTAATTCTCACTTTTTCTTTCCCATTAATGGGCTTCCTTCTTCATTTACATTATATATATATATATATATATACTTTGTCCTCTTTTCAATAAATCTCTTTCACTAACTCACTAGAGTACACGTACGTCATTCTATATATTTATATATAATATAGTGTATCTATTTCCTTTCCAATTTGCTTTACAATTTGTTGTATTGTTTTTGTTGTTCAATGTTCGACTTCGCCTGAGTTTGATTTCCGATCGATCCTGGGAAGTCAACCTACATTCTGCAACAGCCATGGCACACTCAGAAAATTTGATTTTTAATGTAACAAAGAAGGAGACCGAAATTGTTCGTGCCAACACCAAAACTCCCACATCGACAAATCATGAAATCAAACGCTTGTCGGATATTGATGATCAAAAAGGGCATAGGTTTCTCCAGCCTCTCATATTCTTCTATCCTCCTTCGTCTTCGACAATAAACCCTGTTGGGATCATTAGATATGGCTTAGCCAAAGCACTTGAGGCTTACTATCCACTCGCCGGTAGGGTTTTGGAAGGGCCTAATGGAAAACTCATGGTGGATTGTAATAATGAAGGGGTTGTGTTTGTCGAAGCTGAGGCTGATGTGAAGCTCGAGGAGCTTCGTGATGGGATTTTGACGAAATTTTCATTTGTACCGAAGCTTTCTTCTAATTTGCCGAAGCTTTTTTGTCATGTGCTTGGATCTGATGCGATCATCGGTAACCCTCTCTTGTTTATTCAAGTGAGTTTTCTTCTTCTTGGATTATGTTTTGATTATAAGAGATATTTTTTACTTCTTCATAAATCTTCTTTTATTTATTTTTTTTTAATTGGTTGACTTTATTTGATTTAATTGAATTTTCCTAGATAATTGTTTTAATTCTTGATTGAAATTCTCCCTTTTATAATTGAATAATCAACCAAAGAAACAAAAAACGCACTCCATGTGGATTCGACCCTGTTATCATTATTCTCTAACATAAGTATTTGATACGAAATATTTTTTTTTCTTAAGTTACTGCTAAAGTATTTTTTATGAATAATGTCAAAAATGCATTAGATGGATTCTTAAATCAAATGTAGGTAACAAGATTCACATGTGGAGGATTTTCTTTGGGCATTTTATTCAACCACACGTTACTAGATGGTTCAGGCCTATGGATGTTCCTAAATGCTATCGGTGAGCTTGCGAAAGGTGTGTCGAAACCATCCGTGGATCCGGTTTGGCGAAGGGAGCTTCTAGAAGCAAGATCTCCTCCGAGGATCACGTGCCACCACTACGAATACGACCACAAAATTTCAAGCGACAAACCCCTAGCATATCCGATGGACACCTTCATTCTCACATCGATTTTCTTCAGCCCTAAAGAAATCCAAACACTATGTAATCAATTACCCAAAGGTCGATTTTCATCCTTCGATGTGATAACGGCTTGCTTGTGGAAATGCCGAACCATTGCGCTTGAGGCGCATCCGGATGATATTGTTCGTGTCTCCGTAGTTGTGAACATGCGCTACGGCGCAATTGGGGCGAGCATTCCACAAGGATACTATGGCAATGCATTTGTTTCTCCTGCAGAAATATCGACGGCTAGTGCTTTGTGTGATTCCCCTTTGGAGGATATCGCAAATTTGGTTCAAAAGACGAAGCGCAAAATGAATGAAGAGTACATTAAATCGGTTGCAGATCATATGGTGATCAAAGGTCGATCCAAATTAGCCGAAACATGGAATGTAGGGGTTTCGGATATAAGGAAAATAGGGTTTGATAAGCTCAACTTGGGCTTCGGAGAGCCCTCCTTTGCCGGAGTTCCGTGGGCAACTTCAATATATACTTTCTACAATAATGTGAAGTGTGATGGAGGGGAAGATGGAGTTCTTGTGACCTTATGCTTGCCATCTATGGCCATTGAAAAGTTCCAGTTTGAGGTGAAAAAGATGACAAGAGGACCAATTTCAAAATATTGAAATAGTGATTATATCCATGATATATATATATATATATATGAATTAGGGTTCGATAATAAATTGGAAAGCCTATCTATGTTTTTCCATGGATATGAATTAATGTACTATATGGTGTGATTGTGTTTTATACTTTACCTTTATGAATCTTGATCAATTTCTGAATCTAATCTTTACCATACCATTAATGTTATGGCAAAAGAATCACATATTTGTTAAATTTTAATTTGAAGATTGAAAGTTATATTGGATTTCTCACGAAACTTGAATCGATATTGTTTGTATTTACATAGCATTTCATTTCAATTGCTAAGACCTCAACCTATGATTTATTAATTCTTGAGTTCCGCTGTATTTGCATGTGGGTTTTGAAGTTGAGTTTGGGTTTTTAATAGTAAAATTTTTTAATTCCGCTGTATTTGCATGTGGATTTTGAAGTTGAGTTTGGGTTTTTAATAGTAAAATTTTTTAATTTGAATAAATATATAAATATGTGTTTGATGATTTTATTTTCAATATAAAATTAATTTTTCATATAATTTGAAAAGGAAAATGGGAGTTTATTTTAGATAAACAAATTAGTTAATAGTAAAGTCGGTATTAAAAATCCATGAACAAACACAACCCGTCCGGTAGAATATATTGATACAAAGGTAAGCCATAAATTTAATAATAATAATAATATAGTCGTCAGACATTTGCAAAAATATACTAACTCCGCCACCTATTGATGCCAAATTTATATCTTCCCCGGTTCTTACGGATTCAATTCTTACATGCCTCAACAAATGCTCAGTTTACTCAGAAAACAGCCAACTAGTCATCTTTGTCACTTCTCCAACTTGGGAATGAAATATAATTGACTTATGTAGCTTACATCCCAAGTATATATGAAAGTTTCATAACTGCCTACTTTTTTTTATGCTAATTGTGTTCTTCAATCAAGTTGTAATTTTCATGTTTCTTTGTTTGACACCATTAGTTGGATCGAACCAATTAAAACAAAAGAAGACACATCTTTTAATGGACAGCGCATGAAACTCTACCTCCTCCATAATTTCTTTGAACATTTCCGTAGTACTCTAACCTCCAGCATCTAGGCAAATTAACCTCGCAGTTATAACTGGACCTACTTGATCCATGTGTTTCTGTGTGAAAATGGTAACAGTTGATAAAACAAATTAGATACAAGATAACCTCGACCAACGGGCTGTGCGCAATATCTCGAAAAAAAATTTCAATGTGTGTCAATTCACCGCCTAATATAAAGATGTAGATAATTATACTAAAGTAGTTGCATGTCAACACCAAATATGTATATACTCATAGAACCATGTTATAAAGTTCTTCTGAAGTTGTGCAACTTCGACCTCTGAAATACGTTGATTCAATTGTCTCAATTCAATGTCGAAGATAGTACATTAAACATTTCAAGTTTCACTAATACATAATAATATATAGACAAAATTTGTGAGCAAGAAGACCCAAGAAGCTTACAATATGAACAGCTCTATTTCGGAGACATCCAAGAGAAAGTATATCTAATTACACTTCTTTTGTAGAAGTTAGAATCGGTTTCTTGAGTTTGCCTTGTAATTGGGGCTAAATGGTTGAACACAGGCAATGTTTCTTCGGCTTGCCTTGCTTGAGGTAGGTTCAATGGATGTCCATTGATGTCAAATCATGTCCGTCAATTTTTTTATTTTGATTTAGGTAAATTATATAATATTCTTTTGTATGTTAATAAAAATGCATAAAACACTTCGTATTTTATTTAATTCGAAAATTTTAAAAATTAGTTCTTCTTTTTGTCAAATTCTGGTTCCGCCACTGGATATTCGGTATACATCAATATTATACATAATTATATATCATTGTCGTACAAAAAATCTACAATATGGTGTTATGCTTTACCGAAAATTATAGTATTTCTAATTATTTTTTCGACAAGATATAGATAATATACCACAATTGAATATTTTTAGCCCTAACACTACTCATTCTTGACTCTTGAGTCACATAGACATTTATTATCACGTTTTAGTTATTAATTTTCTGGAGACATTTTTGTACTGTACTACTGTTACATAGTCAAGAGTTCAATAATTCAGAATAATAATCACCACAAAACGAAACACATTTTTATTTTTGAAAATTGAGTTTAATAATTCAGAACAATAATCACCACTCGATAAAAACACGTTTAATAAAAGCTGAAAGAGACAAAGGGGTCTTTTCAAGTCGAATGTACTCATTTGTTTTTTTCTAGTAAATTAAAAAAATATATATAATAATATTTTATTAATTATTGGAAATGCGTAACTAATTTTGATATTTTTGTCCTTTATATCTTATTTATACATATTATAGTATATTTTTATTTGATGTAAAATTAAAATATTTTAATATTAGCATATGTAATTTTTACTGTTATAATAGAAAATATACTTTTGACTGAAAAATAATGTTATTAATATAAAAATTAAATCATTAAATATACCTTCACTTTTAAGGTATCTTTAGTTTTTAATAAGTTTATAAAATTATTTATTTTAAAATATACTTAATTTTATTAAATTGGGCCAACCAGACGTAAGTCCGATATACATGGGCTCGGGACTGGAACGGTTCATCAATCGTGCCAGATTGGTCCGGCCAGACAATAATTAGACCTATTTTTTAGGTTCAAATACGATTTTTTCATATCGAGTTCAAATTGATTTTTGAACCATATCTATTTTTTTTCAATTTTAGATACATGACTGGTAAACACTAAAGTGTTTTATTTAAATCTTAAGCTCTCGACACAGCTTTTTGTCCCCTTATTTTAGTTCGTCGAAGCTCCAAAATATTAAAGTACTCTATACTCTCACCCACTATAAATAAACCTCAACTTCCCCAAAGAACTATTGTCCCCAACAGCCATGGCCCTGTCCAAAACAGTTATCTTCGACGTAAGGCGCAGCGAGCCTGAACTGGTACGTGCCTTAACCAGAAATCCCACATCGAAAAATTATGAAATAAAACACCTCTCAGACATCGACGACCAAGAAGGCCTTCGCTTTCTTGTTCCCATCATTTTCTTCTATCCATCTTGCCAGTCGTCGACAGCATCAGATCCTGTTCAAACAATCAGAGATGCCTTAGCCAAAGCACTAGAGACATACTATCCGCTCGCCGGTAGAGTTTTCGAAGGGCCTAATCGAAAACTCATGATCCACTGTAATAATGAGGGGGCTTTGTTTGTCCGAGCCGAGGCTCACGTGAAGCTCGAGCAGCTCGGCGATGGGCTTCGGCCGCCATTCCATTTCTTCGAGAAGCTTTTGGCTGATGTACCGGGTTCCGGTGCCATCATCGGTACTCCTATTCTTTATCTTCAGGTAAGTTTGAGGTTGTTTTTAACTAAAAGATTTAGGTGTGTTTCTTTACGCCCCAAACCTCTTGGACTTTGTGGTTTTCGATACATTATTTTAATACAAAATTGAAAAAAAAAAATTCAAACCCGATAAAAAAAACACAGTTTGTTTAAACATAAATTTAATATTCTCTATGTTCGGTAAATTTAAAATGATAAAAGTAAAAAGATAATTGAGAATATTTTTTTAAATTTAGTTAGAAATTTAAAAAAAACAAGAGAGAATGTAATAAATATTGTGACATTTTGTATAAATTTGTGTAAATTTTGATTTGTTGACTTTGTCAAATGTGGTAATGGAGTAAATTTAACAGATAGATTAATAATAAATATTATAGTAAATTTGGCGGATAAAAAAAAAATATAATAATTTACACAATAAAAATAATATATTTTAATTGAATACCCTTGAAAAAAAAGTGAATAGTGAACTTACCATGTTCGAGTTTTGTGTAGGGTTGAAATTTTGTTGTGTTTAGTTTAAGAGTTTGAATTTTAAATAGTTTTACGAGGTGATATAAATAAATAAGATTTAAAATTGTAATATAAAAATATTGTTAATATAATATAAAAAACACTAGTTGTTTGGGACTTTGAATTTTGATTTCGCTTTTGAATAGTAAAAAATTTAAATTTAAATAATTGTATAATGTAATATTTTAAATGTAAAATTAATTTTAAACCTAATATATAAAATGAAAATTTGGGATTTGATTTGATATTTTAAAATAATAATAATAAATACTCCCTCCGTCCCATAACAAAATATCCATTTTTTTCATTTTAGTCCGTTCCATAACAAAGTATCCAATTTATTTTTTAGTAACTGTACTATCTACCTAACATTACAAATATCCTTACAACTTACAATATATTACACAAATGTCATTACCTTTATATCACACATATTATTTACTTTATTTCTATTATACCCCAATATAATACCAATATTTCTAAAACTACATATAAAAAGCAAATGATTATTTAGTTTTAGGACGGAAGAGAATAGTAAAATTTGGGTAAAATTTGATAAGAAAACACAGCCTAAAGTTATTCTTATATCAAACATACTTAGGTAACAAGATTCATTTGTGGAGGATTTTCCTTGGGCATTTTGTTGAACCACACCGTAGCCGATGGTGCCGGCCTAAAGCAGTTTCTAGAAGCCGTCGGCGAGCTCGCAAAAGGCGCGGCGGCGCCGTCCGTGCCACCAGTGTGGAGTCGGGAAGTTCTCAACGCAAGATCTCCACCTGAGATCACGTACGTCCACCACGAATTCGATCGAACCCTTTCATCCACCGATCATCCGCGCAATCTCGTCTATCCTTATGACACTTTTGTCCTCACATCCGTCTTCTTCGGCCAAAAAGAAATCCGCGCACTTTCTAACCAATTACTTCAAAAATCTCCAATCTCATCATTCGACATGATAACAGCGTGCTTGTGGAAATGCCGCACGATAGCGCTCGAACCGCACCCTGAAGACACAGTCCTCATCTCGATCCTCACCAACGTGCGCCACCCGAGGTTTGGGTTGAGCATTCCTCGAGGATACTACGGCAACGCATTCGCTTATCCCGCGGCGATATCTAAAGCTAACATTTTGTGCACGTCGCCGTTGTCATATGGCGTGGAATTGATCCGGAAGACGAAGCTCGAGTTGAGCAAAGAGTATGTGAAGTCCGTCGCGGATCTTTTGGTGATAAAAGGAAGGCCAAAGTATGTCGATATGTGGAACTACATCGTATCGGATTTGCGACGCTTGGAGATGGATAAGGTCGATTTAGGGTGGGGAAATGCACGGTTCGGAGGAATTCCGTGGGCGACGCCGACGATTAGTTTTTACAGCAGTTATAGAGAGAATGGCGAAGGAGAAGGAGTTGTTGTGCCTATAAGCTTGCCAGCAATGGCCATGGAGAAGTTTCAATATGAGATGAAGAAGATGACAAGAGAATCTATTTCGAAAGTTTAGACATTTAAAGCACTGGATCCCATCAGAATTCTGAAGTTAAGCATGTATGGACGAGAGTAATCACTGAAAAAAAAAATAATATATTTGTAACAGAATTTCGTCCCTAAAATAATTTCATCTCTAATGTCATAAGTAATGGAAAAAAAAATGAATTTAAAGACGAAAAAAAAACTATTACAAAAATAATATTTTCTTGTAACGTTAATATTAGAACATATGACCTTCTAGAAGTCATCGTGTTGTACCAAATAGGGTGATGAATTGATGTTACATTTGAGTGTTATCTTATGTTATTAAGTATTGATGCACAATTTATTTTTTTTTTAATAGTAAAATTTTGAATTAAAATAGTTGTCTAACCCGGTATATTTATATATGTATTGATATAATATTTTAAATATAAAAATAATTATTGATATAATATAAAAATAAATAAATATTTAATTTTTTAAATAATAATGTTTATTAATTAAAATAACTAATCCAAAACATACATCCAAATTCAGTCGATGATTGCATAGTAATAAAAACTTACAAAACTCAAAAGAAAAAATATAATAATAATAATAAGTTTATTACTTTGTATTTTTTTGTAATGTATTTTTATATTAGATACAGAAAATTATATTATTAATATAAAAATAAAAAATTTTGTTAAATTATTAACTTTTGTAAATAAATAAAGACTATATATGGATTATACTTTATTAATGCCTACATATTCTATTTTTTTAATAATATTTATAAAAAAAATATTATGCCATACTAAATAAACAAACCTAGTAATGTAAACGCGTTTTTTTTTTTTTTTTTTTTTTTTTGCCAATGAAAAAAAGTTTTTGGGTTTTATTATTATTTGTCAAAACATGGGCACAAAAGTAAAGTTGGGACCAAACTACCAGCAGTTCGGTACTGACATTGCTTCGTCTAATAAATGAACATGCACGAAATATATTTCCTTTATTTGTTTGGGTAAACTGTTATTTTAGTCCCGTAACTGGACCCTCTTATCATTTTAGTCTTGTAAGTGGAGCCTGTCGCAAACTAGTTTCATAAGTGAAAAATTTTCGCTGTTTTAGTTCTCCGGCGCCGGAGATGCCCGCGTGGCTCACCGGATGTGACGTGTCCGCCAGGTGTCGCTGACCTAGCGGACACGTGGATTTTTTATTTTTTATTTTCATTTTTTTAATTTTTTTTTAAAACTTATTTTTAATTTACTTTAAATTTTATTTGTATTTATTTTATTTTTTTTATTTGATTCAATTAAAAAATTAAGAAAAATGAAAAATAAATAAATAAATCTACGTGTCCGCCAGGTGTCGCTGACTTGGCGGACACGTCACCTCCGGCGAGCCACGCGGGCGTCTCTGTTGCCGGAGGACTAAAACAGAAAAAATTTTTTACTTATGGGACTAGTTTGCGACAAATTCCACTTACGGAACTAAAATAATAAGAGGTTCCACTTAACAAATAAAGGAAATATATTTCGTGCATGTTCATTTATTAGACGAAGCAATGTCAGTATCGAACTGTGGTAGTTTGGTCCCAACTTTACTTTTGTGCCCATGTTTTGACAAATAATAATAGAACCCAAAAACTTTCTTGTCATTGGCAATTTTGTTTTTGTTTACAAAAACAGTTTACTCTATTTTTTTTTTGTTTTTGCAATTTTGATCGGTCTAAAATTAATATATTTGTTTATTTTTAAGTGATTATACATTTCAGTTAAATAAAAAAATTATACATAATACAATATAACAAAAATACCATATAAAAAAAAAAAAAAAAAAAAAAAAAAACCAAATAGGTTAGTAAAGGTAAAACAAATTATCCTTCTATTGCATTATTTATTTATAAATTACTAAAAGTCTAAGGGTGTGTTTGGCACAGAAAAATAAGGTCAGAGAAATAAAAATTGTGTCATTTCTCTTGTTTGTTTGAGTAAGATAAATGAAACTTGAAAAATAAATAATTCATTTATCTGTTTTTATTTCTCTTCCATAGGCAAAGAAATGATGTGACAATATATATTTCTATTTTTATTTTTATCTTTTTGTACTATTTAATTTTTATAATTTTTTAAAATTATATTATTTCAATTTTACAAAAATCAAATTTACTTTATTGGTAACATATTTATTTTTTACGATTTTTTAAGAAATTGAACTAAAATATAATTTTTTAAAAAAGAAATTGTATATAATTTACAATTTTTTTAAGAAAAAAGTCATAAAAAATATTTTTCACGAATTCTCATTCGTTAAAACTTTTTTTTATCCGGTTAATTATTTATTATTATTTGATCCATTCATATATCTGTATTTTTTTATATATATTTCTTAACTTAATTCTCTATTTTACCAAACGACACCATTAATTCTTATTCTCTATCCAAAAAATTTTACTCTTCAATTTCATTATCTACTTTCATTTTCTCTGTAATTTCATTTTCTATAGAAACAAATTATTAGATAAATATTGGACAGAGGGAGTATGTTCGTTTATATAAAAGATTTTTGAAATTTTTGAGTTTTAAAAAATTTAAAAATAAAAAAACAAAATATCTGTGATCTTTTGTACGAATAAATATATATTTGATATATATATATATATATATATATAAACAAAGCCATGTATATAAATAAATAAAATTTAAAATGATGTGTTACTTTCAAAGGATGTCGTCTAAGTTTACATTATCCACACATACCTCTCATTACTAAAACAATAAATATATGAACTTATTCAGTTATGATTTCAAATAAATTTGAAATTGAATATTTATTTAAATAATATTTTAATTTGATATTTTGTGAAAAATATATATATATATTTATTGAAAAATATTTAAAATAAATAATGTTGATTTCAATTTGAAAATATAAAAGACAGACATCATGATTTTCTTTCTTTATTTATTTTTTTAAAATCATTTTTGTTCATAAATTTATTTTATATTTAATTTTGGAATAGTTATCATGCTGATTTGACAGCATTATGTTGATTTTTTCAGTTAGTAAGTTTAAACAACCAAACAATATATGTTTTTATTTAATAGATATGATTAAATATATATATATATTGTCCTGAAATCAATTATAACATGTGTAATGTAAGACTATGTCATGTATTATAAAAGCTCTTGTGTTACATTTGCATTCGTATTATATTAACATAATCTATATGTTTTGTCTTTATCTAGTTTATTATCAATTTTTACATGGTGTAATTTATGTTTATATTATGTGTTAAGTACTGAATTTTATATTCCAATATAGTAGCCGCCGCTATTTAATGTAGTATATTAAAAAATATTATATTTAAAATATTATATCAAATATTTATTTATATTACATAAAAAAAAAATTATTTCAATTTTAAATCCCACTATTCTCTAAACCTAACCAAACAAACTCTAATCTTTATATTTAATTTCCAAATCGAATACTTCATAGTAACTATGCCCTAATCTTAAGGTTTATGTGTAGATCTTTAATAATAATAATTAACTTTAGGACAATAGCATTATATTTATTCGGCGCATATAATCTTTCTTGATCTCAAAATAAATCATTTTCAATTGAGAAATACATAAAATCGAATAACATATATCTCACATAAATGTTAGATCTTTTTGGGACTCATTTTCTACTAAAATTGTAACCATTGATCCAAAATCAATTGTCCATTTCCCTTGAGATCAATCGAGCCATGGCACTATCACAAACTTTGGTCTTCGAAGTGAACCGCGGCGAGCCCAAAATGGTTCGCGCACTCAGGAGAAATAATTCATCGAGCCATGAAATAAAGATACTCTCGGATGTGGATGATCAAGAAGGGTTTCGATTTGATGTCCCCTTCATCTTTTTTTATCCACCGCGGGTTGAAGTGGCGATGACATTAGGTGATCCCATTAAGATCGTTAGAGATGGCTTAGCCAAAGCCCTCGATGCTTACTATCCACTGGCCGGGAGATTTTTTCAAGGGCCAGACAGAAAACTTATGGTTGAGTGTAATAATGAAGGGGTTGCGTTCGTGGAAGCTGAGGCAAATGTCAAAATCGAGCAGCTTGGGGATGGGATATTTCCGCCATGCCCATATGCGGAGAAACTTATTTGCGAAACTCGCCGTGGAGAAGGAATCATCGGTGTTCCTATCATGTTATTTCAAGTAAGGTTTGCGTGCTTGCGATGAAATTTTTTTGTTTCGATATCATTCTTAGGATATGTATAATTTTCTTATATTGAAGATGGGAAAAGAATTCTCGGAAAGGATTAAAAAGATTATTAAATTTTTAATCTGAAAATACGCATTAAGTAAGCATCGGGCGAGTACAAGGCATTAGCAAACTTTGAAACCATGACCTTATGGTCATTAGTCAACCTATCACATCAACCGAAATTTTTAAAAGATGAAGAAGATATATCATTATTATAATAATACATGATCATTTTTTAATTTGGCCTTTGTTAATTATTGAGCGGTGCTGACAATAAATGAAATATATATTGACAATAGATACGAGGTATATACCAATATCATAATATATGTGTTTATATAATATATATAACACATATTACGATTAATTTCAAAAAATAAAGTATATTAAGTTTGAGTTCCTACATACTCAAATTCATCCTAAATTTGGATCAGGTAGAAAATGCTTAATGATTTATCTATAAGCTATTAAATTTTTCACTTTCACTTTACCAGAGCTTGTAAAAATAAAGAATGATCCTATACACAAAATATATTAAAGTTTTCATTTTTTTTAAAATTTTACTTCGCTTGAGCTCGTAAAATATAAAGAACGACGAGTAGCTCGGCAACATAGAAAAGACAAATTTGTTTATTTTCCTCAAGCTTGACTCGAACTATTACTCAACAAAAAATCCCAATTCATAAAATTTATATAACATGTAGTATTGAAATATTTTAAATATAGTTTAGATATTGTTTTGTGATTTAGATTAAGTTTTCATTACTTTATTTTATCTTACGTCTATTTATCAAACTAAGATTTCGGTGTGTTTCTTTAACACAATTTCTCCAAATTTTAGTATTTAGACTCTGCGTTTTCCGAAAAAATACATTTTTTATTCTCACAAAATATCACATCAAATATTATTTTGATACCAAAATCAAACCAATTTTTCTCAAACTCAACCAAAAGAAACACACCCGAATCATCATTAATATTATGCATCTCTAAAATTCTATAAAATACAATATAGTATTAGAGCCGCATTCTCCAAGTAAACTCAGCTCAAATATACCTAAGGT